CAATTTTTCCACATCCTTCTTGTAGTGTGGGGCCCAAAACTGGACACAGTACTCCAGATGAGGCCTCACCAATGTCGAATAGAGGGGAATCATCACGTCCCTCGATCTGCTGGCAATGCCCCTACTTATACAGCCCAAAATGCCGTTAGCCTTCTAGGGCACACTGTCGACTCATATCCAGCTTCTCGTCCACTGTAACCCCTAGGTCCTTTTCTGCAGAACTGCTGCCTAGCCATTCGGTCCCTAGTCTGTAGCAGTGCATGGGATTTTTCTGTCCTAAGTGCAAGACTCTGCACTTGTCCTTGCTGAACCTCATCAGATTTCTTTTGGCCCAATCCTCTAATTTGTCTAGGTCCCTCTGTATCCTATCCCTACTCTCCAGCATATCTACCATTCCTCCCAGTTTAGTGTCATCTGCAAACTTGCTGAGGGTGCAGTCTACACCATCCTCTAGATCATTAATGAAGATATTGAACAAAACCGGCCCCAGGACCAACCCTTGGGGCACTCTGCTTGATACCGGCTGCCAACTAGACATGGAGCCATTGATCACTACCCGTTGAGCCCGACGATCTAGCCAGCTTTCTATCCACCTTATAGTCCATTTATCCAGCCCATACTTCTTTAACTTGCTGGCAAGAATACTGTGGGAGACCGTATCAAAAGCTTTGCTAAAGTCAAGGAATAACATGTCCACTGCTTTCCCCTCATCCACAGAGCCAGTTATCTCGTCATAGAAGGCAATTAGGTTAGTCAGGCATGACATGCCCTTGGTGAATCCATGCTGACTGTTCCTGATCACTACTTTCCTCTCTTCAGAATTGATTCCTTGAGGATCTGTGCCATGATTTTTCCAGGGACTGTGGTGAGGCTGACTGGCCTGTAGTTCCCCGGATCCTCCTACTTCCTTTTTTTTTTTTTTTTTTTTTTTTTTTAAAAGATGGGCACTTACATTAGCCTTTTTCCAGTCATCCGGGACCTCCTGCAATCACCATGAGTTTTCAAAGATAATGGCCAATGGCTCTGCAATCACATCCGCCAACTCCTTTAGCACCCTCGGATGCAGCGCATCGGGCCCCATAGACTTGTGCTCATCCAGCTTTTCTAAATAATCCTGAGACCAGCTTTCGAGCTTACACAGAGCTCTTCTTCAGAAAGAATCAGTGTCTCAAGTGAACTCTAAAAAGCGCTTGATAGTGGAAATATATTTAAAACTAAGAGATGCAGAACCAAATGTTTAAATAATAGACAGAAGATATTTGTACTCCAGCAAAAGCCTTTCTCCATATATAATTAGCGTCTAACGTGATAGAAGAAGAGAAGCAAAATGACTCTTTTCCATTTTATTACATCAAGGGAGCCAGCCAACTGAACTTGATGGTACCTTCTTGTGCTGTTTTTGTGTAGCAGCTGGGAGCTTACATTTATCTGTTACTCTCATCAGTACCACGAAGGGTTTTATAGTCTAACAATGCACGTTTTTTTCCTTGAGTCTTCTGAAAAGCTTTAATTTTTTTTTCCATTGCAAAATCTCTTTGCCATGAGAGGCTTTGTAATTTTTAAATAAGTAATGTCACATTAATTTTTCTTCAAACCAATGAAGGCTTTTCCACACACAGAACCCCCATTTAAATAAAACTGCACTTTTAGAGTCATTCATTCTACTAACTTTGGCTTCAATTTTTTTTAATACACAATATTTCATTTCTCTTCACATGATGGCAATTTTTTATACTACTAATATAACCGACCATAAAAGTTAGCAATGTCAAAAGTGATAAGACAGACAAAGACTATTAAAAGAACAATACTACTACCAACAGTTGATAATTTAAAAAAAATGTTAAATACTTGACTATGAATTTACATTTATATAGTGCCTTTCATCTAGAGGGATCTCAAAGTTCCGTATTAACTTTACCAGTGGATTTTTAATCTCTATATAAGAATCAGTTCACCATTAACTTAAGTATAATCTCTTCTAGAGAGAAATGTGACAACCGTTAACCAGCACCAAACAACACTACAAAACAGTTTAGGACAGCGAGTAAAAAAATAAAATACGCAACTGGAACTATAGGCAGAATGTAATTATCCAAATAACAATTTGGCCAGTATTCTACACACTTCCCACTTTTGTAAAGAAAAATGCCATGGGGTCCTTAATGTCTCAATACTGCCTTAGAAGGAAGAGTGCCACTTACTATATTCACCACTAACTGCAAATAATTTTTTTCCTTGGAGGATCTCCCATACTTAGCCCAGCCATACTTATTTTATGAGTTCAAAGCCAGAGGTTGTATGTCTGATTGTAATGGGGTAGCCATTGACTGAGAGCACCTTCATGGCCAGGGTAACTTTGCAGGCACCCTGTCCCATTTAGCCCCTTCTTGTAGGTCCTTTAATAACTGCACACGAGCTTTACTGTGGATAATAACTCCCCCTCCCTGGGGCTGGTTTAATAGCAGCAGCAGTTCTTAACAATTCTCAGGGTCCCAAAATACAGTCCATCACCACACAACAGTCCATACTTCATTCTGCTGTCTTCTCTCACAGCTGCAGCTCTTTTTCTCTCCCAGTCTGTTCTCACAGTCCATCTTCTTCTAGGCCCAAACTCCAATCAAGTTTCCCCACAGGAGCCTCCTGGGCTCCTCTCTGTCACAGCTCCTTTGGTCTTGGGGACTTCCACAGAGGAGGCCTTCATACTCTGTTAGTTCTTTACAATTTCTTGAGCCCCTCCCGTTCATTGCAGCCCTGTCCTGTTTTTTATAGGGCAATCACCTTGATTTCTCCCAGGTGTGACTCATTCTGTAATGAGTAGCTCCAGCCTGCCAGCCATTAAAGGGTGAGCCACCTTGTTACACTGCCATAGTGAGGTTATGAGATTTATGTACTTTAAATGTATGGTTTCATTGATGTGTTATACAACAGCCCCTAGAAGCTGTCTTTAATTAGGATTTCATTTCTAATTATAAATAAATGTGATTATTTATGTGTATACTTGTTATGAGGCATTAAAATACATTTGAAGTACAGGAAATAACTTACACTGAAGGAAATGTAAGTGATATTTTGTTAGTCAAACATGTTTTGGAGGTTCTTCCCTATTAACTGTATCTATGTTTCCCCTAAATTAATGTTGTGAGTACCAATTTTAGTGTCTGAGAACAAAAAATACATAAAATGTAAAGATGACACTCAGGAAAGTAAGAAAAGTCAGCTAAGAATGGTAAGAAAGGCTAGGAAGAATGAGTTATGATTTATTTGTATTACCCCTTGCATGTGAATCCGGATTAATACAAATACATCCAAATGTCAGAAGGGATCCTACTTATTCTGCCTTTCAGTTCCCCTCATCATTATCATGTACAAATCTATTTATGAAATGTGACTTCAAAATTACTCATGGTATCAGCTCACCGACTCTGATTATGAAAGTGTCCTCTGATGCTTGAATAATAGATATTCTATCATTTAAATAATCCCTCAAAATTCAATTTACACCATGTAAATTAACTTCTGGATATGTATATTGGGTAGATCATTAGAACTCCTTTTGATATTGTACCAATGAAACAAAAAAGAATATTTCAACCGCATTTTTAGCTGGATAGGTACCCATTTGCTGAGAAAAGAGTTGGGGGAATCTTTCATAATGTATATTTATATCTTATAATAGGACCTACTACAGTTACACTATTTTTTTTTTTCTATTTCCCACGTACTATTTACTGAAAGTAAAATTTTCAAAAAATGTCTTAGTTTGTCTACATGGGGACATGCAGGAAAGTTCATCTAAATAATAAAAGGTATGAATTTGAGATTGATTAAACTACATAAATCCCATTTCAAACGGGACTAGATCAAAGAGCATTAATGAATAGTTAATGCGCGTCAGCAGGGTCACCACGGATCGGCAACCTTTGGCACACGGCCTGTCAGGAAAATCGACTGGAAGGCCGGGACGGGTTTGTTTACCTGCAGCATCCACAGGTTCAGCCGCTCGCAGCTCCCACTGGCTCCGGTTCACCGTTCCAGGCCAATGGGGGCTGCGGGATGCGGCGGCCAGCACATCCCCCGGCCCTCTCCACTTCCCGCAGCCCCCTATGGCCTGGAACGGTGAACCGCAGCGGGTGGAAGCTGCGATCAGCCGAACCTGTGGAGGCTGCAGGTAAACAAACCCGTCCCGGCCCACCAGCAGATTTCCCTGACGGGCCACGTGCCAAAGGTTGCTGAGCCGTGGTCTACACAGACACTTAATACAAATAAGTATTAGACTGACCTAGCTACATTGGTCAGCCATGTGAACATTTTTTAACCCTGTGCAATTTAGTTAGGTCAGCCTATCCCGCACTGTAGATGCAGCTACGTCAACTGAATAGTTTTTCCAACGACCTAGCTACAACAACTCAGAGAGCTGGATTACCTACACTGATGGAAAAATCCCTTCCATCAATGTAGGAAGCATCTACAATACAGTGACACAGCTGCAGCGCCATAGCTATACCACTGTAGCCGCTGTGGTGTAGACATACCCTTAGTATGTGGCAGGCTAGTATGGGGTAGATTCACATGCCAGCTTGTTGAGAACTAAATGTTTGTGTAGATAAGCCCTCAGTCCCATTGAAAGTCAACAGGATTAGATGCTTTTGAAAATGGAGCTTACAGCATGCTTACATTACAACTGCTACAGCACTGCAACTGTGCCGCTGCAGCAGCATAGTGTAAACGCTTCCTACATTGACGGGAGGGGTTTTTCCGTCAATTTAGTTAATCCATCTTTCCAAGAGGCGGCAAGTAGGTCCAGGGAAAAATTCTTCTGTCAACATAGCTGCATCTACTCCAGGAGTTAGATCGATCTAACTATGGCACTCAGTAATACAAATAATAAACAATAATAAATAAAACTTCAGGAATATGAGATGTAAACATCTAAAAGCTCAGCAGTGAAAATAAAGATGACATTGAAACAAACAAATCATGTAAAGTGACATTCTTACCTATGCAGCTGTAAATATTCTCTGGGTCTATTTAACAGGTGAAGGAATCGGTCAACAATCTTGTTTTTCCCCACGCCCTGAAATAATGTATATTAAAAACATTACAGACAAAGAAGAGTACTTTAATATCCAAGAATTGTCGAGAGAATAAGGTCAGAATTCCTTTAAAATCTAGTAAAATCTCACACAAGATACAAAAGTTGTGATTGCAATTACAATACTATATTATTAGGTTTACACCAATGTTTAGTTTGAAAAAGAGAAGTGATATTCTTTGTAACTGCATATTTTGTCTGTCCTACTAGATTTTATATATATAAAGTGGTATAGCATGGAATATATATATTGCACACTGTATCGCCCCCACCTCCCTCGCCAGAAGTACTGGGGCGTGCCCGGAAGTATAAGAGGCCAGCCCTGCAGCACAGTTGGGGGAGAGCCTGCAACGGAGGACGACGCCTGGCCTGTTCTCCAGAGGCCCCGAGAGGAGCCTGCGCCTGGCTGTTCCCGATCCCCAGACCTGGACGTCGACTCGCCCGGAGTACCCACTGCAGTTTACCCTGAAGAACCGGAAGAGGCCTGGAGGCCGCAGGTACCAAACCCCGGGGAGGCAGGAAGTAGCCCAGGGGCAGCCACGGAGCAGCCAGCTGCAGAGCCTGGCGTGGCTCAGTCGGCGTGTTGCGGCTGGATCCCCGCCGACACAGGGGCAGCCAATCCTGCCCGTCAGGGCCCTGGGCTGGGACGCGGTGGAGTAGGGTGGGCCCGCGTCCCCCTGCCACCCCACCCCGGGGCGGCTGACCCCCTACACGGTGCAAGGAGGCTCTAGCCCAAGACAGGAGCTCCCTTGCCACTCACCTTTAGAGACTGTTTGTTTGCTGGCTGCCTGGGCTCTGCCCAGGCCAAAGCCAACCCCTTAGAGGCTGTGTGTTTGCTGTCTGCCTGAGCTCTGCCCAGGCCCCAGCCAGCCCTGATAGACTGTAGTTAAGGGCTGACTACTTGAGCTAACCCAGTCCAGGCTAAAGCCTGGTATTGACTATTTACCGCGCAGCCCTACTGGGGCTTTTGCCTGTCTTACGGACTCTGATCCTGACCCCACAGGACTAGCCTGAGTGGCCTCCCTCCAACTGGGAGAGTGAGGGAGCATTACACACACGTAATAGCTGTATAGAAATACATGTGTAGCAGTTTTCATATTACCAGTTGTACATTCCCTCTTAGAAATATGATTATTAGTTTTGTAGTTCTTATTTCTACATGCTTTATTTCATATTCAGGGCAATTGGTTTCATAACAGAGCAGACTAACATGTAGTACCCAAAGCAAAGGAGAAAGTGAGCAGCAAATACAGAATGCCAATATAATCTACAACCATACTTTATCTAATAGTGTTACCAGTATTTGGATGACTGAAATCTACATCTCCTTTTAACTAATTTCTAGTACTCTAGTCCCTTTAATTTCCCAGCATTTACAGAAGTACAGTATGGGTGCGGATGGTGGGCTTACACTAAATACATATACAAAGTAGTAAACTTGGTAGTCAGGGGAAACATCTAGGAGCAATTGGCTGGGGTTAGAGCATTGCCTTTTGTTCAATGTCATGTACAATATTTTCTAACCCTGTTCTACTGAAATCAGTGGCAAAAGTCCACAAACTGAAGTTATGTCTCATGCTGATGCATTGTTTCTCTTGGACTATCAGATAACAGTGGAGGCCAGTGATAGATGGAGAAAGTTATCACTCAGAGGGTGAAACAATTCCTCTCTTATGCAGACCATAGCATAGTGGTCGCAAGATTGATAGATGGGAAAGATAGTAGAGTTGTCAGCCAGAGAAAAGAAACAAAGGAAAGAAATCAGGAGGAACGATAAGTTCACAATTTTGGAAAATATGGACATGGTGATGAGACATCTAAGACATTTCAAGAGACATCTGAAAACGTAAGACTGAGCAAAGAAGTAGATTTGAGAATCATTCACATAAATGTAGCAGTTGAAATCATGGAAGCATATAAGGTTGCCAAGAGAGAACAGAGAAAAAAAAAAAAAGCTGGTGACCAAATAGAACCATAGTGTATTCTTACAGTGAGCGGAGTATGAAACTGGTTGAAAGACCATACTCAGAGTAGTTATCAATGGTTTGCTGTCAAACTGGGAGGATATATACAATGGGGTCCTGCAGGGATCAGTCCTGGGTCTGGCACTATTCAATATTTTCTGAATGACTTGGATAAAGGAGTGGAACAGGATTAGAATTCAAAAGGACCTTGACATATTGGAGAATTGTTCTGAAATCAATAAGTTGAAATTCAATAAAGACAAATGCAAAGTACTTCACTTAGAAAGGAAAAATCAAATGCACAGCTACAAAATGAGGAATAAAGGGTGAGGTTTCTGAAAAGGATGCAAGGATTATTGTACATCACAAATTGAATATGAATCAACAATGTGATGCTGTTGTGAAAAAGGTTAATATCTTCCTGGGGTGTATTAATAGGAGTGTCCTATGTAAGACACTGGAGGTAAAAGGTCCTGCTCTATTTGGCACTGGTGAGGCCTCAAATGGAGTACTGTGTCCAATGTTGGGTATCACGCTTGAGGAAAGATGTGGACAACCTGCAAAGAGTCCAGAACAAAGCAACAAAAAAGATGACTGGTTTAAAAAATCTTGACCTATGAGGAAAGGTTAAAAAACTGGGCATGCTTAGACTTGAGAAAAGACAACTGATATGTTAAGGGCTGTTATAAAGAGGACTGTGATCAATTGTTCTCCATGTCCACTGAAAATAGGACAAGAAGTAATGGGCTTAATCTGCAGCCAGGGAGATTTAGGTCCGATATTAGGAAAAACTAACTATAAGGGTAGTGAAGCTCTGGAACAGGTTTCCAAGGGTGGTTGTGGAATCCCCATCATTGGGGGATTCCCCACAATTTTAAAAACAGGTTAGACAATCATCTGTTAGGGATGGTCTAGGTTTACTTGGTCTTTCCTCAGAGCAGGGGGCTGGACTTGATGACTTTTCACAGTCCCTTCCACCTCTACATTTCTATGATATCTCTATATTTCACGCTTTAGGTTATACTACATAAATAAGTCAAGTTTTTCATGATTTCTTGACATCAGAATTTCCCAATGGAGTCAAACCTTTATATACAAATGTGATGGTAAGATATGCTTCGTATTACTGGTATTTTTATTTTCAATAATTGCCAGTATCCTGTAATCACATGCTTGAAGAATTATAGGACTTTTTAAATTCTCTAGTATTTGGAACAAGACATAATATAGCGAAATCATAAGTTCTTCTACAAAGTCAAAGAACACACCTTTTATCAGGTAGAAATAAAACATAGCTGGAAACCTGTAATATCACATATGGAGATGGGTACACCTCCATACGCTGCTGTTACTGCAGCTGTGAGATTTTTAAAACCATAAATGGGCTGATACACTGAAATGTTCCACCTAGTTTCAGCACAGCTACACAGAGGCAGAACTGCATAATGCACTTTTTTAAAAGACCTTCAAAAACTATGGCAGACGGTTACAGTCAGTATCGTGTGCCAATCCCAAGTAGATTCCATGCCTAATTCTCTGCAGAATGGGACTCGAGCCAACTGTGGCAAAAACCAAGCTGCAGAGAGACAGATCAAAATACGGACTCAGTACAGAACATATCAAATATCAAACAAACTGGATACTCTACTAGAAGAAGAAAGATTTTTTTTTTGACTTTCATCTGTATTGAGAAAGAGAGCGTGGTTTGTCTGTGTGTTTGTAATACTGTCTTAGGAACTCACACACGCACAATTTAGATATTTCCCAACTACTAAATAATGTTGTTGTTTTTCCCCCTCATCTCTCTAATGAAATAGAGGACCACATGGCTGCCTTTTGTTTACTTCTTTCTAAGCTATCATTGCCAATGATGAGAGTAAGAATATGCTTAGCTTCCGAAAGAATGTTCAGATGCTAAATGGATGCTGTAAAGCACCAAGGAATGGAGTGAGTAGTGCTAACACCACTACCGGTGAAATCCTGCTCCTTGAAGCCAATGGGAGTTTTGCCATTGACTCCAGCGGAGCCAGGATTTCATCTTAGACTTTTTTTTTTTTGTGTTTCATCAAATACAGTCCCTTTTTTGTTGTAGCTTTATTTTAAGTCAGTGAGAATGATGTATTTTAAAAATATGCATATAATATTTAGAAACAGGCATTCGTCACCAGTTCGTAACTATTATTAAAATGTTACGGTTGGTCAACTTTTAAACTTAGCTGCTTGAAGGAGTACAGTATGTGCCTGCACAGATATTGTGGTGTACCACACAAAATCCTTGCTTGGCAAAAATGGTTAGGGAATCAGAGTCAAAGCTCTTTCATTCTATTCCTGGCTCTCCCACAGACTCGCACTGTGACAAGTCACCACCTCTGTCTGCCTCAGATTTTCATATCTATAAAATGGGAATATCTCACCAGAGTCCTTCAGTGATTAACACAGTGTTTGTAAATCAGCTCTTTGGATGCAAAAGCTTCATTTAAGTGTAAATTATTATTATTAAGAACAATATTCCAGCAAGAGGGAATGATTTAATTAAACACTTGGGACAGATCCAGGCCCATTATAAGGCTTCTTTGTGCCATCAAGAGACCACTAACGCCAGCTTAACTAACTTCCTGAGGAAATCCTAACTGACAAAGAGCCAGCAGAGCTAGCTCTACACAACCCTAACCTGGCCTACATGGTATAAAGCAGTGGTTCTCTAACTTTTGTACTGGTGACCCCTTTCACATAGCAAGCCTGTGTGCGCGACCCCCCCCTCCTTAGAAATTAAAAATGCTTTTTTTACATATTTAACACCATTATAAATGCTGGAGGCAAAGCGGGATTTGGGGTGGAGGATGCCAGCTCGCAACCCCCCATGTAATAACCTTGTGACCCCCTGAGGGGTCCCGACCCCCAGTTTGAGAACCCCTGGTATAAAGAATGTGTTTGAGACATGGGCAGGGAAAAGAAATACTACTGCATGTTGGAACAGCCTCTTAGGAGAAGTTACCAGTGGATCCAAGTTAGAACAACCCTGAAACAAGCCTGTAGTAGCTGTGGAGATCAAGGAGCATAAGGATGGCATAAAGCCACCCTCCTTGAGTCTTGTACTAAAGAGTCAAGAATTAAGCTCTCTTTCTTATATACACACTGATATCTAGAGTAATGAGCAATTTAACTACACTCTTTATATAAAAATGCTGAAAATATTGGGTTGTTCTATGGGCAAATTAAGGTAACAAATAATTTCTGCAATCTCATGTAATTTGCCCCCATGGATCAGCCAGATTTAACATCACCGCCCACAAGGAACATGACTAATCAGCTTATCAGAAGCACTAGAAGAATAAATTAGTTCTTCTTTTCAGAGATATCTGCATAGCACTTGTGTATGAAATATTTCCGCTATATAAACTTAAAAATATGCATTAATCAAAAATACAGAAATATGCAAATCAGGATGAATAAATAACAGTTGTATTGAAGTTTTGACTAAGCCAAATAAAAATATCTGAGAAAAGCAAGCATTAGTACATTACTTCTATTCTGAGAGAAATATAGCACACCTGAACTATATAGCACATCTTTATGTTAATGGCAAGGCCTTCTTTGAGGTGGTACATTCTTCCTTTGTGAAGGAAGCTGCCCACCTTCACAGGCAAAAGATTGAAGAAAAAAAAAAAAAAAGTCCTCTACATTGCTCCATGTAGCAGAGCGCAGCTGGCCCTCCTGGCTCCTGCCTCTGCTAGGCTCAGAGAAAGTCACTCAGAGACCCTCTGGTTCTGAAACTACTGGTGCTTTTATTTACAAGTCTGTGTTCCCACCACCTTCTCACCATACAGTGTACACAGCTCTGGGTTCCTTGTGTCTGAACCCAGGAGGGAAGGGCTTTTTCTCCCTGCCTGCTCTCCCTTGCTCTCCTCCATCCCACCACCCAGGTTTCCTTCTTCCCAGCCTCTTATATAGGCCTGGGCTAATTGGGCTGGCAGCTGGGTCTTATTTCCCAATTAGGGCAGGTTCTTTCCAGCCAGCTCCACTTTATTCACTTAAATTGGGCTGGCATGGTAGGGGGCTGATTCTGCAGTCTTTCTGCTCAGCACCCTGTCACACTCCACAAAACAGGTAAACAATATACATTTTCTATTCTGAGTTTTGTTCAGTGTTGCATGCTATTATGGTACTCCTAGTTTCTCCACAAGTGTGTATGTAATTAGATTGGAAGAAGAATATTATCTTTGAAGGAAACGTGGTCAAGTTTTCTATAGAACATGGCCTTTGAAATACCTTACAGAAAGAGTCAATCATTTGTTTTATTAATTTCCTCACACTAAAATGTATTTCTAGTAAGAGCATAATTTTTCAAGTAATCTAAGTTCATATCTCCATCAGCTAAAGTAAGGCCTTGCATAAGGCTGGATGCCAATACTAGTTTCATAGGGAAGACAAATTACTGTATTTTTCTACAGGCAGTTACATTTTTAAAACCATTAATACATTTTTGAACTACCTACTTACTGCTGGCTTACTTTGCAATTCTCACTAAGTACAAGAGAAATAGAAATTGCTACCAAGTGAGCTTGTGATGGCCTTCGTTTAAATTATTAACAATGATATTTAGCACTTCTAGAGTATGCTACATCTTTAAAACATGTTGTAACTTTTATCCTCCTCCTCTTTTGTCTAAGTTGTTTATTTAGATTGCACACTCTTTAGGGCAGGGACCTATCTTATAGATATGCAAGGTGCCTAGCATTTCTGAGGAGAAAATAATGGCAGTAGACCCAGTGTACACATGTTAACTAGCAAATCCTAAAGTCCAAATGTGAATTGAGAAAATTCAAAATGTTGAAATTACTAACTGTATTTAGAAATCATTTAAACTACGTTTAGCATTTCTGAGCCTCCTGCTGGTCATCACCATCCTGCTGCTTGCTGAAAAGTGAACACTAGCATTATGAAAGTCCAGTATAAAATGTACCAAGCCATTTTCCATCCTGCTTTAATAATAACTGTTTAAAGGAGAAGGTATGCTTTTAAACATTACATTTTTATTTTAAAAATCACTTTTTATGCCAGTTAAATGAGCACACAAGCAGGATAGAAATTGGCTTATGATTTCTATTGGTGATAAAAGTGTTGTCAATTTTCAGCAAGAGGCGGGCAGCCACCACAGGCTCAGAAACAGCAACTTTGATTTGAAAATTTTCGGCAATGAAAACTACAATGGAGTGGGAAAATGGAAGGCCTGGAGGGAGCAGGGAGCACGTGTGTCTGGCGGTCATGAACAAGGAATCGCACTGGTGAGCAGGGCTGGTGTGGAATGTTCTCCAGTGCATCTCTGAGTCCCACTCCTCAGTCACATACAGCGGCTTACCTGCTTTAACTCATGCTGTGGTTTTCTGTCCTCTTTATGGGCAGATTAATGAAGAGGATACCCATAATTTTGGGAATATCCACACAACCACCCCATTTCCTTCTGGCCATGCCCCTTTTCTCCATTATGCTATCTGCTGTGCTGCACAGTGGTACAGACTGCATTACAGACAGTGTATGCAGGCAGAGAACTGCGTAAGTGCACTGTACATCACGGTCAGTGTGTTTAGTCAAGCAAAGTGGTATAAATTGACTTTAGAGTACATGAAAGTCTGGCCATCTACTCTGAAACTTCAGCTATGTGAACCAGTGAATAATCTGAACAAGACTATAGGACAGATAAGTTCTAAAACATGACTACTCTGCATTTGCTATGAAGTGATAAAGAATGTTTTGTGGATCCCGAGGGTCAAACTTAAGATAAATGAACAGAAAAGGATAGATTTTTTTTTTTTTAATTACAACGTTTGCAAGCAAGCACAGGATGAAAACCTTGGCACCTTGAATGGGAAAGTAATAGCGTACATGGCACGAAAGCAGGCTTATCTTAATGTGGCTGCTTTAAAAAAAAAATTTAATATGTCAACTGGATTAATTCCTAATATCTAGCCTCTTGTTACTTAAACTTCTGTGGTGGCAGTGATAACAAGCTGTGTTTTATGGACACAAAAAACGAAACACATCCTTAATTCTGAGCAGAATTAACCAGACAAAAAGAAAGAGAGTCCTTATCAACTCTTAAGAGCACATGAAGTGACTGAATCTGATATACAATCAGTTTTCTATGTTGCTGCACAGAAGTAATTTAAGGTACCTTTCAAATAAGGCTATATATGTACAATACTAGTATATTTGTCTTTTTAGGTTTAGATTTCTCTGTAGTTATTTACTTATTCTAAAATTAGATTCCAATAACATTCTCAGATGTAGGCACATGAAACTGAAGATTTATCAATGGCACAATAGATGCAACTTCAATGAAGCAAAAGAGAGTTTCATTTGCTTATAGCAATGGTGAATTTGGTTCACATATTGTAAAGAGATATATGTTTTAACTTACCTGGTTGCCAACTAGAAGAAGGTGTTCTCCCAGCAAAAAGTCTTTTAGCATATCCTCCATCACCATCATATGCTAGAGACAAAGAAAACAAGAATTTTAAATACTGTGCTTATACACACAAAATAAATGCAAGATTATTACTTAAAGTATTTTTTCACAAGAACCCTTATCTAGTTATCTATATCTATTTATTTGGTATTTTAATGAAATAGAATTGTCTCAATCAGAGCAGAGGGAATCTATTCAGTAACTGAAACAGTTTTTAACTCCATTGATTTACTATCCTGCACTCTGACTGGCGTTAGGTGTCTGATTTCTATATTTCTCAATAACTGTTCAGAAAGAATTTCCTTTTAGTCTGGTGGGCTAATATTTGTCAGCCTCAGTGCAAGGACTGATATAATGACTGTATGTATGTAGATTGCATCATGGAATGAGCCACCCAAATACCCCGAGAGAACTTGCTTCAATACAGAAATAAAACCCCTGCTACCCGCACACCCCTAGTTGTCACATACCACTCCACACTGGAATCCATACAGGGTATCATTAAACAAGTACAACCCGCACTCTATGTGGACTGCATCCTGAAAGAAATCTTTCCTGAACCCCCTCTTCTGGCCTTCAAACACCCCCCCAAACCTCTCCAAACTCATCATCATAAGCAAGCGCCCCATAGACCAGGACACACCAACTCAAGGCACACCAGACTCTGCCAGAACAGATGCAAGACCTGCAGACATATCTCCACCAACAATACACCTTTCAAGATCCATGGATCCGGCACATGCCTATCACAACATGTGGTGTGCCTCATTCAGTGAACTAAATGCCCCAATAACAGCTGTGTGGGTGAAACTATATTCTTGAATGAACTCACACAGGAAAATGATAAAAGACAAAAACAACCTATCACCTGTGGTAAACACTTTTCACAAATTTCAGAGCGATAGCCATGTTACTCTGTATCAGCAAAAACAACAAGGAGTCCTTGTGGCACCTTAGAGACTAACGAATTTATCTGAGCATAAGCTTTCATGGGCTAAAACCCACTTCATCAGATGCACGGAGTGGAAAATACAGTAGCAGGCATATATACACAGTACATGAAAAGATGGGAGTTGCCTTACCAAGCGGGGGGTCAGTGCTAACGAGACAATTCAATTAACAGTAGAATACCAAGGGAGGAAAAATCACTTTTGTAGTGGTAATGAGGGTGGCCTATTTCAAACAGTTGACAAGAAGGTGTGAGTAACAGTAGGGGAAAATTAGTATGGGGAAATTAGTTTTTGTAATGATCCATCCACTCTCAGTCTTTATTCAGGCCTAATTTGATGGTGTCCAGTTTGAAAATTAATTCCAGTTCTGCAGTTTCTCGTTGGAGTCTGTTTTTGAAGTTTTTTTGTTCAAGAATTGCCACTTTTAAGTCTGTTATTGAATGACCAGGGAAATTGAAGTGTTCTCTTACTGGTTTTTGAATGTTATAATTCCTGATGTCAGATTTGTGTCCATTTATTCTTTTGCGTAGAGACTGTCCGGTTTGGCCAATGTACATGGCAGAGGGGCATTGCTGGCACATGATGGCATATATCACATTGGTAGGTGAATGAGCCCCTGATGGTGTAGCTGATGTGGTTAAGTCCTACGATGGTGTCCCTTGAATATATATGTGGACAGAGTTGGCAATGGGGTTTGTTGCAGGGTTTGGTTCCTGGGTTGGTGTTTTTGTTGTGTGGTGTGTAGCTGCTGGTGAGTATTTGCTTCAGGCTGGGGGGGCTGTCTGTAAGCGAGGACTGGCCTGTCTCCCAAGGTCTGTGAGAGTGAGGGATCGTCCTTCAGGATAGGTTGTAGATACTTGATGATGCGCTGGAGAGGTTTTAGTTGGGGGCTGTAGGTGACAGCTAGTGGCGTTGTGTTACTTTCTTTGTTGGGCCTGTCTTGTAGTAGGTGACTTCTGGGTACACTTCTGGCTCTATCAATCTGTTTCTTCACTTCACCAGGTGGGTATTGTAATTTTAAGAACGCTTGATAGAGATCCTGTAGGTGTTTGTCTCTGTCTGAGGGATTGGAGAAATTCGATTGTATCTTAGAGATTGGCTGTAGACAATGGATCATGTGATGTGGTCTAGATGAAAGCTGGAGGCATGTAGGTAAGTATAGCGGTCAGTAGGTTTCCGGTATAGGGTGGTGTTTACGTGACCATCACTTATTAGCACTGTAGTGTCTAGGAAGTGGATCTCTTGTGTGGACTGGTCCAGGCTGAGGTTGATGGTGGGATGGAAATTGTTGAAATCCTGGTGGAATTCCTCAAGGGCCTCCTTCCCACGGGTCCAGATGTTGAAGATGTCATCAATGTAGCACAAGTAGAGTAGGGGCGTTAGGGGACGAGAGCTGAGGAAGTGTTGTTCTAAGTCAGCCATAAAAATGTTGGCATACTGTGGGGCCATACGGGTACCCATAGCAGTCCCGCTGACTTGAAGGTATAAATTGCATTGTATGTATAAACTCCAAAGTATGTATTTATATTATTATTATTAGAAACAATTTAACATTTAGCAGGTTGGTTTTTATCGTCTTTCATTTAATATCTGAATACATACTTTACATTTTCAAATAAATAAATAAATAATTTGAGAGTGCTTCCTGTTGACCTGGTATTAACTAGATTGTGGGGATGAGGGCTTATTTGCTATAGACCTCAAAATTTCTTCAGCTCAAAATATTACCACCACATAAATCAGGATGCACACTCAAGTTATTACAATAATAATATTGCAATAGATTACAGCAAACTACAATAATCAAGAACTAATAAGAACATTTTTTTATATGATGTGAAGAAAAGTCCCAATGGTCAAATTTGTCTCTGGTACACATCCACTGAAGTCAAGAGATGAATTTGATCCAATATGTTTATAATTACACACATTTATATCACTTGGAGGTGAGATATTGATCTCTAATACTAGTTAACTCTAACTTCATCTCAAATACAAGTTTCTATTGCAATTAGTTTATTTTCAAGAAAAAGAAAGAAAATCCATCCCAAATCAAAAGTATGTGGCCATACTGCATTTCTCACAATCTCGGAATTAGACTGACTAATCAAAGTCACTGTTAAAATACTTGTGATATATTTAATACTAACTAAATGTTATAAAACATTCTAACATGTACAATTAGTAATGTACTTGAAAATAAAAATCAACCTAAACTTGCTCCAAACAAATAGATTTGTTGCAAATAAAAATAATGCAATTATCTAAGGACCTTGATAACATGAAAAATGCAGGCTGCTTTACTAGCATCAAAATCTTGTGTATCCTCTGTATCTAGTGAAAATAGGTCATCTGTAAGTAGGTCAGACAGGGTACTCAGAAAAAGGAATGACAGTCTTTACATAAATGTAACATAATACTATATTTTCTTTCAGCATCATCATCTCATCACTGGTATTTGCTTCTTGAAATCAGTAACTCCTGCATTATTACTGAGTATATGGAAATATTCAATTTATAACACTGCAAAAGCTGTTTTGATTTTCCAAATCGCTCTAGACCAGGGGTCGGCAACATTCGGCACGCGGCTCGCCAGGGTAAGCACCCTAGCAGGCCGGGCCAGTTTATTTACCTGCTGACGCCAGGTTCGGCCGATCGCGGCCCCCACTGGCTGCAGTTCGCCATCCCGGGCCAATGGGGGCGGCGGGAAGCCGCGGCCA